CGCATAGTACGTAGCCCGTAGCAAGATAAACGTACCGCTTAGTACGTAGTTCGTAGCAAGATGTGCGTAGCGCGTAGTTCGTAGCAAGACGTACGTAGCGCGTAGTACGTAGCTCGTATTTCGTAGCGCGATGTTCTTAGCGCGTAGTTCGTAGCGTGTAGTTCGTAGCGTGTAGTCCGTGGCGCATAGCAAGCTATTAATCTCGTAGATTCGTAGGCATGAATCGACCACACGAAGAATTTACAATAACTACACCTACGAAATTAACTGGAAAACGCTGATACGTGCTATGAGATACGGCTTAAGTATTCTGCCGGGATTAAAATAAGGATCAACATACGTTTTTTCATCTAGTAGAATGGCAGCCATCTAGTAAACGTAAATTTTAATGAGTCAATGAGTGAGAACTTATACATTTCTATAGGACCTTTAGTTTGTGTTATGTAAAAGCTAGTTCATTAACTAAAAAGTAGCAAGGTACATATATTATCTGTCACAACTACGTAATAGACCTATGCCTAATCCACAAAATGCCAGATTTGCTAAATTCTGGTGACTCTTAAAATTACTCGTATTAGAATGGTTTTCCCTCAAACTAAAAACCATTTATTTTTTGTTCTTTAACCAGTCGTATGTGGGCTTATGACTTCCTGAAATTGTAGCGTTGAGTTTTGAGAAGCGAAGCGAATCGAAGCATGGAAATGATGAGGAGAAAAACATCGAGAAAAAATAGTAGGTAGGTACTCAGGTGAATCATAAACCCTATTCATGTAGTGGACATAAATCACATCAAGTGCTCATAAGATTGGATAAGAAAAGGTTGGGATATGATAAGGATTGAGCCTTTATGCTACAGGAAACGTGATATAACCACAACATAATAAATAAAAACACTCATTGATAATTTATTAAATATAATTAAAACCGTAGTTTATGACAATAGTTAACAAAATCGATTCATTTAAATTAACAATGGTTATACATAATTTACATTGCTTTATTTATAACTTCTTTCAATTATTGCGTATAAGTATATTTTATAAGTAAAAAACTCTAAGGCAACGTTCATAATTTGTCCTATGTTAAGATTCTTATAGGTGTATGGAAGGTAATTAGAGGAAGAAAAATATTTAAAAATTTATTACAATTATCAGTTTGTTTCCCGTAGGAAGGGTACGGTTACATATTATGCCATAAATTTAACGCTATGGCGTCATTGCAAGGTATGGCATGGTCGGTCTCTCATTTAGAAACTTTCCATTTAGACTTTGGACCAGAGATAGGTAAAGACGTCTGTATACTAAATTCCCGGACCCAGAAGTCCAATAGACAATAATTTACAACCCTCAGCAGGTCAACTTAAAACTGAAAATCCAACCGCTAGATTGAAGTAGGTCGATGTGTTGGCGACTGTACAACAGCAATTGATGATGAAAAATACCATGAAGATCTGATTTCACTCAAAAAAGTATTTTTTATTAACATTATTTATACCTTTGTTAATACCTTGACATATATTATTTATTGTGTATTTGCTGTTTGAATACAAGTTTTCAAGTCAAGATTCATGTAAGATATTGAACCAATTTTAACGAAACCTGCTTAATGAAATTATAGTACTATAATACTTATCAACTACAGTTATCGTTGATAAAGAATCCTAGTCCAAAAACCAAATGAGAAAGTATATTAGAGAGAGCCAACTAACACAAGGGAGTCATTGTTGTTCCCACATAATTATAATATCGTGGTTGATATTATTTTGGTAGAGCTTGCCACAATATCAGAATAATCGATTTGATGTTTATAATACGTTTAATCGATTACAAATGATTTGTAAAAAAAATACTATTACATCTTAAAACACTCGTCTTTGTAAAGATATAATTGTAGATACTTATAGCAACTTTGCCAACATGATAAGTCTTGGTAACACACAAAAAATTCTATAAAATTAAATAATTATGTACCTTTATATTTTAATTGTGGTTTAAATAGATTTGCGCAAAATCTATTTATTATTTTTATGTACTAAATCGTTTAGATGTTCAATCGATCACCGTACCCTTCCTATATGAAATACAGGTAAGTATTTAGGTACTACTAGTAAAGGTGAATAGAGGCTAGAAAAAGTAAGCCAAAAGTGGAAGTTCAAAAGAGTAAAAGGCAGATATTATCTAGGAACATAATTAGAATAAACTCATTGATTTTTTGTTTTCTAGGCATTGATGTGTCTCTGGTTTACTATCTACTTATTACACTATTTTGTTACATGTTTGGAAGATTTGTGAAACTCTAAGGCACCAGTAGATTTGAACGAGTGTGGAGTCCGAGGAATTGCCTCCACTTGAGTAAATATTATGTCATATGTGCGAGGATTCGTAAATCTAGTCTTGTCACTGCGCATTTGCGCTATACGCCAGCTGGACTAAGGATGAGAATTTACCCTTATTATATCATTTATCATTCATCCTTCATTCGTAATTGATCCTGAGTTTATAACCATTTTTCGAGTTTTATATCACTCTTTTCAACTTCGTACATCGCTAGTGAAACAACCAAAATCGTACCAAAGTATATCCCCGGACTTTTTTGTGTCCAAAGCAGCCAATCAAGTTTATTATAATTATTTTTACACATTTTCTTTGTTACATAGACAATTTAGGCATCAATATTAGAATTTTGGATTCGGTGACATATTTGTACTGGATTTATCAATACATTAACACTTGTCTGCATTTTGGTGATCTACATAAAGTATCTTGCAACACACTGAAGCCCGCTAACTAGCGTGACTTAGCACATAGTTCTGATCGTATAGCGTAATTGTTTTATAATTTCATTGTCTACTAAATCAGACTAAGACAAACCATTACGTACATCCAACAATGTGTGTTTGACCACTTACCACCTGTCTTTTGCAATAACATATGTGCCGGAACAGGTCCTGTATAATAGTTTTATCTGTAAGTACAGTTAGATAAGTATATATTTATTATCTGATCTAAAAAAATAACAATTAATTCCGTTATAAAATGGTCAACCATACACTGTCGACTGTACAAAATATTTTTTTTACTCTAGCTGTTCTACACATCAACATGATTTTAACAGAAATCTAATTACAATTCTATTCACTGTCATATAGGTACATGTACAGTTATAGGTGATAAGTCTTATTAATATACATACTAATTTTTAATTTAATAAGTACCATGCTGTGTATAATTTAACTCTGTTAACCAAGTTTCGATATTTCACGTATTGCTTTATAGAATTACATCACTAACAAGAAACCACAGCAACAGGGATGACGACCAGGGGACCATATAAACACACTTTATTTATATACTATTCAAGGAATCCATCAGACGGCTCAATGTGGATGGCGTTAGACACGTATTTTTCGGATGATTGACTTGATTATTAGCTACTTATTTAGATAAAGCGCATTAAGGTTAGGTAGTGGCAGTGCAAACTACGCCGTACCCAAGTACCCAATGTACAGAGGCAGAACATGATAATATTTCGATTTAATGTATCGCAAACATTTCTTGATAACGTGAAAAAATACATGTCTAAGATGTTAATACCCTCTCTGATGGATAGACAATATTTTGGTCATCATCCCTATTATAAACAAAGGTATACTAATTCTACACTCTATGGTTATTGTACCTATTGTAACGTATTATCAAAATAGATCTAATTTCATAAACTGATCAAAGGCACCAAAACAATTACTTACAAACACAATCTATTGGACTAAAGTTACCTTATTCAGTTACCAGATAATAATTCTAACAGATTTGAAATGTGAACAATTGACTATTATTTTAATATACTCTGCCCTGATAAGTTTACAAAATATTAATATTAACATTTAACTAGAGTGAGAAGTACATGAATTGAACTATAACAAATTAATTGATACTGCGAGTCTGAGCAAGTATAACAAGTACATAACTGAATGCCGACACCAGGAGTTCATTAACATAGACATTTTATATACGAAATATGATTTCAGAAGTTAATGTAAGGTGTAAAAACTTAACTTTGTTGTACAAAAACTTTCACACACAACAGAGATGGCTAGGTATAGTAACTTTCAACTATTTAACTATCGAACACAGTTATATATGTATGTTACATTTAGCTATTGCGTATATCTTTCCTTTAGTATATTGATTTGAATAATATGTATTTATTGCATCACAGAAAACTGTGTTACATTAAAAATGTATATGTATATATAAATAATATTCTAGCTGTGCATGACCAATATAAATATCTGCAAAAGTACAAAAATTGTTGTCTGTATTACAAGTAACAATATATAAAATAGTGTTAGACTAATAAATGGCAGTTACCGTCAATAAATAATGGGGCGGTTAATTATATCAACAATCAATATGTATAATTATTTAAAGACATTTAAAAAGACAGTCAATATTATTTATCTTCAACTCATGGTATGTTACAACTTGTGCACAACACTGGTATAAAGTGGTGCACACACAAATAGTCAGTAAATATATATTGTACTGTACTGGCATTGTTTTATATAGCAAAAATATAAATATTTGGTCTATTAAAATACATATCCCTTTATAGAAGTTATATATGTATAGCAATATATCTATGTTATAACTTGTGTTTGAATATTATATAACTGAATATATAAATAACGGTAAGCTATAAACATTTCTACACTAATTAACAATGTGATTTGTTAAATAACTTAGCATTTATACGGTTTCTTGATACATACCATTAAAGGGCTCCACACGACGGCGCCGACTCCGCATATAGACTTAAGGATCAATTTAGAACTTAATTGTTTTATCTTGTTTAGTTTCCTACATGGATATTTAATGGTATTCATTTACAACATTAAACAACAGAGACTGATTAAGTCAATAGATTGTTTAACATGCTTGCAACTTTCGATTGTTCGTATATTCTTTATTAATGAAGGAGTATGATTTGGACAAAAGTTGAAAATCATCCATTTATCAGTTGAATCGTTATTGCCAAAAATGACTAACATTATTGACAGAAATTGATCCTTAAGTATCATTAACATTCAGCCCTTAGTGAACAAGTGACGAGGTGGCAGAGCGGCGGTAGCGTCACGTGCTGAAGCGTTTAGGCGGTGCTACTGTTGATACCTTTTCATTTTCCTCTCCATCTTCTTCTTCTTCTTTTCATCTTGTTCAGTGTCTTCAGGAGCTTCTTGGAAGAACCATGGCCCAAGCACATTCTTCCACAGCAGCCAAAATGCTCTCAGGGGTACGAGCAACAGCAAGAACCAGAAATAGTTGGACAAAATGCTGAGAACATGAGTCAACGACGAGAGTATCACTATGTCCTTAACATGCCTGGAAATATATAATAAATACATGTTACCACTTTTGTTATTTATTACAAGTCACACACACATATTAATGTCTAGCACATGAAGTCATGGCATGCCATATTCCCCAAATTTTAACATTCATTTTGAATACTATAAATTCATAATTGCATTTAAATTACACCTTGAAATGGTGTAATTATCTATTGAGGTGACCAAAATCAACCTTTATTTACAGTAAAGAATCAATTAGGTGTTCCAACGATATTTTTATTAAATATAAATAAGTATCTTCTATGATAATACTTAATCAAGAGCACAACCATTTTATATTGGAATCAAAGTCTTCTCACAACTTTTTAAGCATGATACCAGCAAATCTAGACAATTTCTTAAACATGTTAGGGTTGAAGGTCCACTAAGAATCTCCAAAGTCACAACAGAGACAGGAAAGGCACAAGAACTCGCATGCAAAGCTAAAATTAAGAGTAAACAAAACAAAATCAACAAGTTCCTATTGTGTATTTGTGACCGTCAGTTTTACACATACCTAATACATTCGCTAAGCACACAGCACATTTCTGATTGGAGTTTCGAGTAACCAACTAATATAATCAAACAGCATTTATAATATTTGTAAGTTAAGGGGAATAAATTATATAGTGGAAAATTGAAATGTGTTTTGGGTGAAGCAACAGGTGGGAGTAGTTGTATGCAACATGTGAATACCTGTTAATGATTACATTATTTAATTTTATAAACTGATTAAAGATACATTTTGATTTTGATGACAGATTGCATACAATTTTTCAGTGGATTCAATAAAATATTTTTTGATAGTTAATGTGATAAAATTGAAAAGTAAATATTGGATAACTAGTATTTTTTAAATATTCAACTAGCAATTGTATAAAAAACTAGCAGTGCCCGCGACTTCGTTCGCGTGGAATAGAGACTATGAGCAGCGTTTTTTTTTTAAATATATACTCACGACGTGATTCTTTAATTTGACATAACTTTTTTATTTATGAACCGATTGACATGAACCAAACACTAAAACATAACTGAAGCATACCACAATATATTCGTGAAAACAGCATCCAACTCGGATCAGCCGTTTCTGAGATTAGCGTGAACAGACAAACAGACAAACAGACAAAAAAAAAGTTAATTACATTTTTGGGTTCGACATCGACATAACAATAACCCCTGCTATTTTTTTTATTTTTATTTTCAATGTACAGACAGCACTTTTCTACAATTTTATTATATGTATAGATAATACAAATAAAAATAATACAAATACAAATATATATATTTGGTCATTATAGTGTGTATATATATATAACTTAAAACTAACTACAACTAGAACAGAGAATATAAAAAGAAGTAAAAAACTAAAAAAATTAAAATACCCTTCATTACACACTATAACTAGTTACTTTGCTTTGTCCATATTTTTAAGGGTCTTGTTGTGCTCCAACAAAAAACAAGTCTGGTAACACATTGATTACGGTAACATACTAGTACGGGGTAGGTTTTGTGGCTCATAATTACAACAAATGATTAACAATATTGTATGCACAGTTACTATCAATTGCAGAGCAGGCAACAGCTAATAAAACAATACTTACTCGCCCATCCCACCTTCCATGTTCAGGTCTAAACCTGGATCCAGGAGCTGAGTGTCAGTGTATGTTGGCCGGCTAATATATTTCATCATTTGATAACAACCACCATAAATTAACAATACCAGTATATTCATGACCTAAAAAGAAATGGTAACCAGTGAATACAACCCTATATCATAATTCTAATTTTAAATGTGAATACTACCCAATAGAATTTGAATTTTTGATAGTAGTCATAATACAACTTACAATAACTCCAGTAGTCAAGTCTTCTAAATAGAGGCAGGTAGTGACTACTCCATAAGCAGCAATGGCTACCAGTGACATGTTGCGATAAAAATTAAGAGTCACTGAGTTCTCCAATAAGATTTGTTTAGCTCCTTTTGTGGGAGCTTTTCCTTTTTGCTGGAACAGATACGATTTTCATTTTATTACAATTTTGTTGCTGTGTCTTTACACCGGGATTACCGTACGAAATATCCTGTATTCCAAAAATTGTTCTGGGTTCAGGTAGCACGCGTTTATGAAAATTAGTGTAGTAGGTAAAAGCACCCATAACTCGAAAGAAAGTCCAAGTGTAAGAATCACGCTTCAAAAAGAAAGCGGTGTGCATAGTCTTATTATTTAAGTGAATTGTAGGGCAATACACCAATTTGATAATGTGAAAAGAGTTTAATATCAATACTATTACGAATTTAACCTACAAATTGTGAAAATTCATTGAATATTTATAAGATATTTTGAAATAGAAATTGCTTGTTCATGCAAAAGAAACGAACTTACCGGAGCCATGATTCTGGTTGTTCACTTGAACTTATCCTATTTTTAAAGCTATGTTATTGTAAATACCTAAACTGTGAAAAATATATTTTTATCATTTACACAACATCAAAATCATAGAGAAATTTTGAGTAACCTGCCAACATAGACTGCTTGTTGAATTCGTCATTTCATCCATTCGCGGACGACGTTTCGGTATGACGTTGCCGATGATGACGTATAAACGTCAAAGTCAAGTAAATTATTTTTTTTACCTCCGATTCACGCCCTTTTGCAAAATAACATATTATCTGCATTAATAAAACCATTGAATTAAAACGATATGAATTATTGCATTATTAGAATTATTAGAATTATTGTCATGAATGTGTATCTGATTTGGTGTACAGAAAGTTAAACAATATAAAGTTCATCTAATGGATAATAGATGGCGCTAGATATGAAATGCGGAGCTTAATATAACATTTCGTTTGCAGGTAGGTAGTTAAAGATAATTTGATAACGGTACACAGAATGATAAATATTAATAAAGAAGATTTGAATTAAATACAGAATTTAAATGTCGGTAAGAAAGTAGGAATCCGTGTGTAACCAACTTTTTCCCGAAACTCAGTTCCCAGAACGTACATACATAATGTTAATTAACATAATAATTAGGTACCGAAGTAGGTATTTTTACCAATATTATATGAACCCAGAAAACAGATAATATCTATTACCTAATTTAAGGTGATCATCACCAAGGTAGGTAATACTTACTGGGTACCCCTATGGTAAAGTGGTGCCAAGAACTACAATCCAACCAACGGTGTCACGTTTGTTTCATATTTCGCAGTCGAAGTCGTTTTTCCGTAAGAATGCTGTAGTGTTTAATGTATAGTTTATTGGCGATCAGATTTCAATTTTCAAATACCCACCCATTCATAGGTGTTTGATTTCCGCATTTGACTGAAGTTATAAAAGGAATTGAAGTAGAGTTACGAGTAGGTAGGTACGCTATCGACGTCTTAAGGTCATCGCACTGGGCTCACTGCCATTGCAGTGGTAAGTCCCGTCTTTGAAGAGTGGCTTGAGAGACGCTACGGCGTCCTCATATACCGCCTGACGCAGGTCCTCACCGGACATGGGAGCTTCGGAAGGTACATGTGTCTGGTAGGGCGGGAGAAAACGCCCGGGTGTCATCACTGCCAGGATCGCCCTGAGAACACTGTGGAACACACAGTTGGGGAATACCCTGCATGGGCTGAGCACCGCCGTGCCCTGTGATCGGCGACGGCGACCTCTCGCGTCCGGCCCTAGTACGGGTCATGATGCGGAGCTAGGGGGACTGGGATGCCGTCTCCTCCTTTTGCGAAGCAGTCCTGTTAGCTAAGGAAGATCAAGGATGCGGGGCGCATGAGGCAGCGAAGCGCTGCGTCCTCACAACCCAGCCGTCGCGAAAGACACTCCGTGCGTCGGGGATCGCGGGACTATCTCCAGCCACCGTAAGCGCGGGCCTACGGACGGCGAGCATGGGTACTTGGACTTACTTGGTATGGGAGCTTAGTACGAGTTTGTTTTATTATATTGGTTCATTGGCGCCGGCCAATCAGAGGGCCAAGCACGAATAACTATGGCATTCGTATCGTAACAGTATCGAGCGAGTTAAGCGTTCTGATTGGTTGGTTCACTTGAGCCGCCCAATCAGAAAGCCGAACGCGCTCGATACTATTACTATTCGTGCTTGGTACTCAGAGTGCCGAATGCGTACTCGTTACGAATACTTTAAACGTCAATGAAACTCGTACTAAGGCCTCAGAACCAGGCCCGAGCGTACGGCGCGTCGAGTTTCGCGCGCGCCTAAAAGAACCATCAGACCACTACGGATGGGGCCCAATAGGGCTGATGCCGATACGGAGCCGCGGCGAACTTAACGGGTTACCGGGGCTCCGGCTCGAAGTGTAGGAGTAGGAACGGAGTGGTTTTAGTCAGTTAGAGTCTGACCCTCCCTCCTCACCCAGGCAGGAGAAGTCATTTGATAATTTTCCCCCTTATAAAAAAGCGTAATTATTATTACCACAGAAATATTTATATCTATAATTAATAGGTACCTACTGTTAGTTTTATATTCCCCAAAAATAGACAAATAGTAAAGCAGAGTGCTGTACAATCCTAATATGAAGCAACGTTTTGAGAATTATTTTCTATTTCCCAAGTCGTGCAGTAGATAAGTACCTACACAATTCCTTGCTAAAATGCATTTCTATAATATTTACGCTGAAACTGTGAAACCAGTGTTATAAATACCTAAGCCTCTTTTACTGCCGTACGATACCCACACACATACACACACTAAGCGCATGCTGAGGGTTCCGTACCGTGTTACATTTTACACTGAGTATTTATTATTACTGTGAATTTCCAAATGGAAAATACCTAATATTTTGTCTGACACGCTTGCGATAAGAGAAGAGAGGCAACACTAAACTTTCCTTGTTCAGTAACCGGTAACTAAACGTTTTCAGCTCAATAAACACTGTACTAGGTCCTCTATTCATTCAAACTTCATACTACAGGTTACCTGACGACCTAAATCGGAAAGTTTGTTACGATGTCGATAGGTGTTTCGATGTGTGTCGAAAATTCAAAATCCTACCTAGGTTTCCAATGTTAGATTTTTTTTGCGCTAGTAATTAAGAATGTTCCTACGTACTTATTAAATAGGTAAAGTTTAATTAGTAGTATTAGGTATTCCAAATACTTAGATACAGATCGAAAAAAATGCAAGTAACTTCGCCAATACATACCTACCTATCTAAAGTTTGACGTGACTACTAGCGGACAATAATTATGTTACTATCCTTACTTCCTTACTATATATATATTATATATATATATTATATATAATATTATAAATCGGAAAGTGAGTTTGTTTGTTTGTTTGTTTGTTCCACTTTCACGCCGTAACTACTAAACCGATTGCTTTGAAATTTTGCAGACGTAAAGTTATAAAACCGGATTAAATAATAGGGTACTTTTTATCCCGGAAATATTGATATTCCCGAGGGAAAACAAAAGTATTGGTATAGATGGCGCTGTATGTATTGGTAGATGTCACATACGCTACTCATTATCCTTTTGTGACGCGAGCGAAGCCGCGGGTAAAAGCTAGTATATATTATAATATATACGTCTAGGTCTGCCACGTCTTTCTAGAGATAAGTATATATACTTATCTCTAGAAAGACGTGGCAGACCATGCGATGATGGAAATATCCTGCCTGTTGGTTGTGTAGCTACAACACAATCGTGTGCATTGTTTTACTTGCGACACTGCACGTGAGGTATTTTCAATTTTGACATCGCTATATTTCGGCTTAGGTACGTTACTGCAAGAACTTACTTATTTGACAAATATGAAACCGTTGAAAATTGTTGAATATCATCCCCTAAACTTGTTCATACTAAAGTAGTCTCGAAATTTTTGGTTTTTGGTTTTTTGAAGTCGGTTTTTTAAACGCAGTTTTTATTTTATCATTTTCAGTGTAAAGCTACATATACCCGTTTTGTTACTTATAATATATATAGGTGCAAAGTTCTAATCAATACAAATTATACAAGCCCAAACACAAGGTAGTTATAGTATACCGTTGAGGAGTTCCCTTAACAATTACACTTCTTCATCATCAGACCCTTAATGACAGCCCCACTCTATCTAGGTGTAAAGTCCTCATCAATACAAATTAATCAAGCCCAAACACAAGGTAGTTAATATAAACCGCTGAGGAGTTCCCTCGACCGTCTGTCGACTCCATCATTAGGCCGACTCCAAACCCTATCAAATTGTAGTGTTTAAAAATCGTAATTGAAAAACATAATAGACACATTACTCCCCCATAGAATTTTCGAAAGTTCCCCTTGGTTTCCCTAGGATCCCATCATCAGATCCTGACTTCATGGAAATGGGACCATCTCGGGAGTATACCCTTTCAAACAAAACAAGAATTTTTGAAATCGGTTCACAGACGGCGGAGTACTGCGCGAACAAACAAAAAAAACAATCAGCCGAACATAGTACCTCCTCCTTTTTTTGAAGTCGGTAAAATGTGGGTGTTACTTCTGTGTGCACCTCTGTCTACCCCTTCGGGGATAAAAGGCGTGATGTTATGTTATGTCAATCAATTATTCCCGCTTCGCTTCGGCCAGGTGAAATAGAACGATTGTATAGATATAGAATGTCGGGATGAAAATGAACCCATGATCCTAGTCTATGAAAAGTATACTAAAATAAATATTCAAATAAGTGTTTGGTTCACTACTTTCAGAGTCTGTTCAATGCATATAAACAAAGGGATGAAAAGAAAAGACTAAAATCTACATATAAAACCTACCCAATAATGAAAATTAGACGAATGAGGGAACTTGGTTGTCTTTCTCGAAACGAACACAAAGGCAGAAATAAAAAGATCCTTAATGTGTATTGTGTATTGCAGCGTGAGTTGTCAGTACAATGAATCTGGATATATTTTGCTACAACACATTAGGTAACCACTGTCCAACTCTTTTGACGATTATTTTACGAAATAGTAGTTACATTTGTTTTATGGGACACCTGAGTAGGTACCTAATGGTTTTAGTGTGTGTACCATTGTCCGTAATATTTAAGGCAAATGCAGAAAAACAGATGTTTTGATAAAATTGTATATAGGTCATCGCACATCTAATAAGCACGCCTTCAACCCAACTATTAAGTTGTGCTTAAAATATGAACTTTAAATCGTATGTCGTATGATATATTTCATCAAAAAGCCGTCAGTGGTCAGTGCGGTCCACTCGATGTGTAGTCGAGGCGTCCACCATGCACCAGCGAAACAGCGTCGCAACGTAGCTAAATATAAACTCTACTCGTGGTTTTTGTCACCACATAGGTTTCCACGTGGCGGCCGGCGTGCTTCCAATTATCCCCAATCCCCGAATCCTCCACAATCCTCAAATTACCAATTTCCAAAAGGCCGGTAACGCACTTGTAACGCCTTGGTATTTTAGGTGTCCATTGGCGGCGCCGATTGCTTACCATCAGGTGATCTGTCTGCACGTTTACCGGCTTATGTTATAAAAAAAGACAATATCCTTCAAAATAATAAAAGTATAAATACCTACCCATACTCGGCAGGAGACTGCATAGAGAAATGATCGAATAACAACAACTTGACTCGACTTCTCCGATGAACGCTGTTTGTACTAATTGCCCTGTAAGTAACCACTTCAGATCATCTTCACGGCGCGGCGCAATCTGCATAATAAGTATCCAAGCAAAATGTAGCGTTTATTCTATTATGGTACTATCGAGTACGTACTTGTTCTTAATTGAGTAGCTACAGCGAAAAGTACTTAAAATTTGTTTTGTACCGGTTTTTAATTTCTATGTAAGCTTTTTATGTACCCTTAGGGTACCTACATGCTCCAGCGATTCTCATCTTTTCCCGTTCAATTTAACCCCAAAAGCCTCCCACCCCCTTTTTTTGAGGAAGGAAAATCATCCAATGACGTCTCCCGCCCGGGTGAGGCGAGAAGGAGTGTCAGACTCTTACTGACTAAAATCTACCCCGTTCCTACTGCTGCGCTTCGAGCCGGAGCCCCGGCGACCCGGTAAGTCTTCCGCGGCTCCGTAACCACCCATCCCCTAAAGAGTGGTAACACAACAGTGACTCCTTTGGTGTTGCGAACCGTCGATTGCTATATTTACCATTTGGTGATCCGTCAACTCGTTTGCTGACCCATTGTATAAATGACCGATTTCATTTATTTCATTTTTCTAAACGTAACATTTCCAGAAAACTCACAGCACTATCACATTACTTTTACATAAACATTGTATAATGGCAATGCTAACTTCCTGTCCGGTTGTAGTTATTTTTAATATTGGACTGAAAATCGGTGAATGTAAAATGAAAACAGTAAGCCAAATAAATAGACCCTCCAGCTACATATATTGGGTAGAAACACGAGAGGATTTGTTGTAACCAATAAACCAATATCATTTCAACTGAATCACTCACGTCAACTCATCCATGTGTTATTGAAAAGGATTGTTAACAAAATAATCGTGCTTTCATTTCCCAGTATGTTTTTCGGTCAGAAATTGGTTTAACTGTGAACTGATATTTGATGAGCGTTTATTTCAAGCGGGGTATTTATTACAATTGGTTTTGTTTCCTGGGTTGCTTTAATTAAAAAATATATGTAGCAAAACTTAGTAGGTAACTAACGAAATAATAAAAACTAAATATACTCGAGACGTCTGACAAAACTCTAAAATAATTCATTTATAAACTACGTTATTAAAAAATTGATTTGAATTCAAACCCTCTTTTTTTGAATTCGGTTAATTAATAAGTATACTAACCTTTTGTCGAGTGTAACAAACACTTTTCTGAAAACCAAATCAAAATCGATTCAGCCAATCACGAAACAAGCATAAACAAACAGACATACAGTTCACACTAAGAACCTCTTTCTTATTTTCGAGTCGGTTAAAATACCCATTCTTCGCTGATAACATCGTGGACAGTGCGACTGAAAGTTGACAATAAAGGAAGGCTCTAACTGATTTTAATACATAAGATAAACTGCTTGTTACGACATTACCTAGTATGGTACACTTGCTAAACAGGCAACTAAGTGCGTACGCAAGTGTACGTGCGACCAATCGCAGAGGTCACTTTCTTTGTTACATAAAACGTGTGCGCGTTACTTAAACCCATTACTTCAAGTTCAGAAACGTATCATAAATTCTCACGATTAAAAATGTGGTTCATTGAGTCAACATTAATTGGGCGCTGATATAGTATCGCTTGCATAATTTATTTTACACCGACTTCTTCGAGTATGATTCGACTGTCAAGTTAAGTCTTTTAAACTGTGTTTACCTACTGACACGTATTAGATTAATTTTTAAAAGTCTAGAATTGGGTACGTTCCGTAATCGATATTAATTTTTTCGACTGTTCCATTACAAAAAAATATTATAAAATAATCACACTTTCATTAATTGATTTTCTGACCAACTTAATTTTAGTATTTATTTTTCCAGCAATTTATTAAGAAACTAGTTTCTGCCAGCGGCTTCGCCCGCGATCCCAGGGGTAAAATGCCTATGTATCACTTCAGACCATAATCTACCTCTGTTCCGAATTTCATCCCGGTCCCTTCAGTGGTTTTAATATGACTGAGTAACAAACATACACATAAACTCACATATTTTCATTTTTAATATCGAGTCAAGCTAATTTCAACCATTGGCCTTTCAGTTACAGCGTAAAGTCTATGAATGAGTATTGTAAACGTTAGAGTAGACAAATACAATCAGAAATCACCGAATTGCTAAGCTATCGGGAGTTTCACCTGTTATTGTGAGTCAACCATAAAAGATAGACATATGCTGTCGAGGAATATTTTTTATATAATTTTAAGGAGAATATTTCCGTCATACATGATTTCTATGCAGCTTTAACCTATAAGCGCACGCGACGGAAGCTTAAAAAATGGAGTAACTTCTCCCGTTTTCCCAATATTTCCCTTCACTTCTCTGCTCCTATTGATTGTAGCGTAATGAAAAGTATACTATAACCTGCCCAAGAGTATGAAGAATAATTGTGCCAAATTTCGTTAAAATCCATCGAATAGTTTTTGTTTCCATAACGAACATACAGACAGACAGACAGACAGACAAAAATTTTACTGATTGCATTTTTGGCATCAGTAGCGATCCCTAACCACCCCTTGATAGTTATTTTTTAAATATATTTTATGTACAGAATTGACCTCTCTACAGATTTATTATAAGTATAGATAAGTACTCTGTTTGACGCTAATCGTACAAAATTTATAGAAAACTGTCGTTTTTCTCAATTCGAAAAAAGTATTGAATTTGACTAATTGTCAATTACCGTATCATTATACAAAAGTCTATAAAACGACTGTTAGTGGGCTTTAAATAGGGTGAAAAGTAAATGAAATGCTGACATCTTTTGATAACATACCTAGAACCTTTTAAATAATGTGAGCAGAATGTTAAAATTAAATTAACTATGCACTTCGGTATAATGAAATTCTTAGTAAGCGCACTAAGGGAAGAAAGGCATGCAAAAATGATGTCGACGGAGCCTGTGTAAGATGAAATACCTGCATTATCGAAATTAAGGTGGTAATATAATTTTTAGAGAAAGCAACCATGACGGTGCAAGTAATGTAAAAGAAATTCCGTTCCTTGAAATCCTTTTCACGGACACCTCTTCCATTTACTATGCACTTAGTTATTCCATTTACTATGCACATTCGATAGATTGTAGTGCAAGCTTGCACTTAAGAAGTTTTTATTAAATAAGCCACGGTAATAAGACCTAGAGATTTACTTTGTCATGGAACTAGAGAGTCGCCTTAAAATAAAATATTTTAGACTAGCTTATGCAAGCGGCTTCACCAGCGTTCCCGTGGGGCAAAAATGTATTGAGAATGAGTATTCGGAACTGTGTCCACGTTACAACAAGCAATATCTCCACCCCATTTCTAACGTCTAATTGTCTTCTTATCTCATTTTGCGCGAATTCTTGTCCATATTTATCAATACCATTTTATATCTACATATACATGTATTATTAAATGTATGTCGTAGGTACCGGTTTGATATTACGGGCAGTTCTTTGTACCTATCATATTACAAAATGTTTTATTTCACGTATTAAATAACTGCACTTTGACTGCACGGTTGTATGGTGGCTGGGCAACCGGCTGCCGTGCAACGTGTCGTGGGTTCGATTTCCGCACGGAACAACACTTTGTGTGATCCAGATTGTTGTTTCGGGTCTGGGTGTCACGTGTATGTGAACTTGTATGTTTGTAAACCCACCCACGACACAGGAGATAACCCTAGTGTGGGGCAACGTTAAAAAAAAACATCACGCCTTTTATACTCGACGGGGTAGGCAGAGGTGTACATTACGGTACAATGCCACTGTACAATGTAACACCCACTTTTCACTATTTATGTTATGAGTCCCATGTAATAGGGGGTGAGCCTATTGCTATATACCGGGCACAATCCCAGACCCGGGAATCGAACCCGAGAGCCCTTGCCCGGCCGTCGCAATTGCGACAACTAGGCCAACGAGGCAGTCAGTATTATTAAATAAATATTCCTTTATTTACTTAAATTCTGAATTAATATTGCAGAAATCCATTAGGTCAGATATATTTTATTTATTCCCGTAAAACTTCGTGGAAATCAAACAATCAACAGATATTACTTACATACGTAATTAAACACAATATGATTCATATTATGTTGTTACATACGTTCGGATTATAATTAAAAAGTATTTTCTGCATGAACAGGATTATTAAAAAACATGGACATGGCAGGTTTGTGTCTATTTTTCTTCCTGTACAGCCAATGAAATGATATTGAGTTGAAATGCCGCATGCATTTTTTATCAAACGAACCTTCACTCATACGTCTCACGCACAGCCTGTTTTAATTTTTATTTTCGACTTCATTAAATAGAATAAAGAACTATATTTTGTTGTGATGACAATGTTTATAAGCAAGAAGAATTTTAATCCTAGCAATTAGGTCATAATTAAGCCATAATTAGCCAATAATTAGAGCTTTAATTTTGAGACCTTTGGTGTAATGTAGCTGTAATTTTATTTTATCTTAAATCTCTACAGTGGGATTATTGATTGATTCCTGTACCAGGATCCCCCCTTTCATCGATTAATTTTGAGAATTATTAAATAATCGAAAGAGCCAATAGGTGAAATGTTTTCGAGACGATACAAAAGACGCGACCGGTATTTTCCTTCTTGCAATCTTAAAAATTGATATTTTTAGATGATATCTTTTTCAGTATTAGTCAGATTAGACTATAAAATTTTTCTGAAGCTAGTTGACCACAGAAACTTATTTCTATATAATAGGGATGATAACAGGGTACCTATGAAAATTAAAAATCTAATTAGTCCGTACACGTATTTTTTTATTTTATCGTATAAGAAATCAATACTTAGATAAAACGAATCAAAGTTTAAAAGTGGGGATACAACGTCATTTCTACGTATAAAATGTACATAGAAGTGACGTCACGTGACATTTCAAATTAATATATCGTCATAAGTATTTGTTTCTGTAAGAAAATAAAAAATACGTGTCTAATGATTTAAAATAATCTACCAGACGGACATTAGAATAAAAATTAGGCATCAACCCTATTAAAGTATTTATTCAATTGGCTCGATCATCCTTTAATTACATGAAATGCAATACACATACACACTATTATTATAACGTATTACTTATAATACTAATACACAGACTTTCTGTGGACACATGTCTGCCTCTTCGATGATGAAATGACGTAACGACATTTTGTAGGGTACCTATTTGACTTTAGGTATTGATGGATCAAAGCTACGTAGTGATAGGATATCTGACAGCCTGGTAACCTGCTGCACTGCCGTCTATAGCTGTGCACGGCACTCAATTTCCTACATGTCGTCTATTTGTAGATGGAGGCCTTAGAGAGATTCCCCTAAAGGTTCCACGAACTAAGTTAATGGGTGTACTCACTATTTACATGTCCAGAGATGAACTTCACAATAATAATATGGTAAGTAGATGATTAATTTGTATTTTAATGTCCGATTATTTTGAAACATTACACACGCATTTTTTATTTTTTTACAAAACGAATACTTTCGATGTCACTTCATGACGTCTTGACGTCACTTCTATGTACATTTTATGCGTAGAAATGACGTTTTAGCCCCCACTCCTAAACTTTGATTCGTTATATCTAAGTATCAATTTATTATGCAACAAAGTAAAAAATACGTGTCTAATATTTTTCCATTACCTAACTGACTGACTAATTAGATTTTTAATTTTCATACCCCGTCATCATCCCTATTGTCACAAAATTAAGTAATGTTTATTAATATCTACATTTTGGAGTAAAGAAATTGAAGCAGTAGGATCGTTTTCTTCTTCATTTATTGATAAATATTTTTCTTATAAAAGTGTTTTATTAATTTGGTAACATATGTCGTATAAAAGGAAATTTACAACATAATATAACATCATGCCTTTTTATTCCCGAAGGGGTTGGCAGAGTTGCTCATTAGGGCACTTATTGCCACTGTACCGTGTAACACCCTTTTCACTGTTTATATTATGAGTCCCATTTAATAGGGGGTGAGCCTATTGCCATATACTGGGCACAATTCCAGACTCCGTCTAACCACTGACATTTTTTTTAAATACGAACAATACTTTGCCCGACCCGGGAATCGAACCCGAGACCCCGTGCCTGGCAGTCGCAATTGCGACCACTCGGCCAACGAGGCAGGCCAAGGAAATGTACTTTGAAATGAGAGCATTTTGTAAAAGGATTTTTTTTTAATTTAAAGAGATTTCAAAAAATTGAAAAAATAAACCGCTAATGCATCCGTTTCTTTGCAAGTGTAATAACATGGACAGGTAATATTTGTTAAATATTAATGTGTTCTGTAAGTTTATTATTATAATAATCATTTATTTAAGACATCAAAGGTCCACTGCGTTAGTAACAAAATCAAAATTAAGAAACATCTTAATACATAATATGTTAATAAGCACATTAACAGACAAAGACAATACAGAAAAACGAATACAAACAACACAGAAAATAGACACATGCAATAATATGTTGGTAAGAAAACAGGCATACTAAAGCACTCTCGGTGGTATTTGCACGAAATATGCCTGTCGCAGCAACTCAGTTTTCGAAAGTCATGGACATATTTACAAAATTGAATATTTTTCTTAGTTTATGTTGCTAGGGAGTGGAAGAAGAAGACGATCGACCTCAATTAACCGATTGTATTTACCATAAAGTAAGTGATATCTTCGTACGGTACCCTAAGATTGTAGGTAAGTGCAATGAGAAAATTCTGATCCTTTGGGTGGAGTAGCTATCTCGGGACCGGATAATTAAGTTTTTTTTCCTTTTTGCTAGAAACTATATCTTTTAGTTCTTTACTTCGATAGAAAACCGATTGGGAAATCCTTCTATAAAAATCTTAAGTGACTTTGGTTTTTTATTTTATGTCATAAGTGAGAGATGAGTTCTTAGGTCCTCAAGATATTAAGTCTGGCAATATTAAACTGAAACTGTGTAGGTAACTATATTAATATCGATATTTCTCGGTACCTCGCAATGACGCACGGAGCTTAAAGGAAATTGTTGAGTAAAAGTTTACTAACGTCTTTGAATTTCGACTGAGACAGGAACCACGGTGCCCTAGTTACTACTGTATTTATTTTGTGTATGTATTTGCCATCGGTCTCTTGACCATGAGCAAATTTTTGTACGTCATTTGACTTGTCTCTCTCCATCTCTCCATTAAGAGATCAATCTCTTATTTCGAGGCCCGGAGTTTGGGTGGCCAAGTTCCATGAAGTCTCGTCTTTTCAGCTGCTTTGTGTACACAGGCGTAGTGAGTTGGGTTGCCAGTTCATTGGGATGTTTTTCTGCCGTGATTCTACTGGCATGTAGCTTAACTTCTTCCATGACTGTATTAATTTGATGGATTTCATGCGCTTCATCATTGCGTATGAACCACGGTGCATTGATTAAATGTTTTAGTATGGTGTTCTGTAGTCTTTGTATCATGTTGATGTTCTATTTGCATTCCGCACCCCACTGTTGGATACTATAGGTCCAAAAGGCTTTAGTATGGTTTTGTATATGAGAAGTTTGTTGTTTACTGAAAGTTTTGAGCCCTAACAGCCAATAGAGTCTGCTTTATTTTAGTTTTAGTTGCTGTCTCTTCGCTTGCAAGTGTTTTTTCTCGGTTAACCTTTCTATCCAAATGCAGGCCCAGGTATTTGACCGAGTCACTTTGTGGTAGGAATTCGCCATATAGTTTTACAGTCGGGCATTCTTCCCTTCTAAGAGTAAAAGTGACTTGAACTGATTTAAGTACTGAAATTGAATATTTTTTTATATTACCTATAATGGTAAGGAGGACTAATACTCCATCTTAAACTTACAATAAAAAACGCGGGACAACCCGCGCTCGGCCATTTTGTTAGCTGTCATTCGGAGCGGGAAAATCGGTCAATTCTGTGAGACTTAAATTTTTCATATTACTTATCTAAATCTTCAATGCTATTTTTCATATTGAGTTATTGTTATTTTGTTCCTATTTAAATAAACATCGGTTGATAAGCCTAATTTGAAATTGTATTCGCATAATCTAATAAAATGTAACTACTTCCCATATTGTTTTTTTTAAATCTTCTGATCGCTAAAAATATATTATCACCACCGATCTTCAAAATTAATGAAACTGTTTGTAAAATCGTGTTCATTGATGTCACCGGTCCGTTGCGCGTAGCTAACTCAGCTGACACAGCTCAGCTGAAACAGTGTAAACATTGAATAAGGTAAAGGAAAACAATTTATTTTCATTCTGATTTATGATATGTCGAATGGATTACTAGTTTCACTTGACACACAACAACAACACAATAGGTTAACAGGAATTTGGCGGCACAGTTCATGCCATATGGTGGCACGCATGAATTACTGAAATAATTGCAATTTTGCGGCCGTATAAAGCAATAGAGTATTTATTCGGAAATCTACAAATGTTTTACCATAGATTTCAGGTTTATAGAGGTGATTTTTTTTAAGGGGGAATTATCATAGAATTACTACTCCCGCCTGGATGCGGCGGGAGGGAGTGTCAGACTCTTACTGACTAAAAACCACCCCGTTCCTTCTCCTGCACGTCGAGCCGGAGCCCCGGTAACCCTACTACCTATTGGGAGATCTTACCAATACCGAGATCTCGCGAGATCAAGATTGCATTCTCTAAGTACATTAGTTTTGTTCAGATGGTATCACCGTGGCTTAGCCAGATTCAACTGAAAAATAACATTTACTATAATAGGAGCCTTTAGATTAGAATAGAACTTAATAAAAATGAATTAAGCTTTGTGTAACTTTTATTAAACTTTAAATTATTTCATTTTCCCGTTTTAAAATGGCGATTTTATGCCCCCTGGTGTCCTTAAGGTAGTTAGCGGAAGACTTGCCTTCAATACCTTCCTTAATCAATCAATACCTTCCTTATCTACCGACAGTCATAAGTTTAAACCTCTTTGAAAGACTGAAACAGTGGGTGAAACAACAATAACATTCTTAAAATTATAAAATAAAGAAATAGGTCTAGAAAATCAATATATTGCGACGAACAATTCTCATAATAACATAGTGAACTATATTCAAAGGAACTGTAGAAATGACGTCAAAGGGGAAACCGTTTACATAATTTCTAGTTGTAGTACAAGGTTATAATAAATGACTAGCTTTTTACAGACAGCTTAGCACACGGATTCACCCGTGTAGAATGAGAATAATTTAGTCTAGAACATTTAGTGCACCTGTATCGATAGCAAGTAACAATCGTATCTTAGACCTTATAAAATACGGAGCTGCGGAAGACTTAACGGGTTGCCGGGGCTCCGGCTCGAAGTGCAGGAGTAGGAACGGGGTGGTTTTTAGTCAGTAAGAGTCTGACACTCCCTCCCGCCTCACCCGGGCGGGAGAAGTCATTGGATGATTTTCCCCCCTCAAAAAAAAACCTTATAACATAATCTGGTTACTTCTCGTATTATTAATGCTCATATTATTCCTATTAAATCTTAGCTCCTTTAGGTCTTGGCGATAATATTTCGCCTTGGTAATTTTTTTTACAGTGGGTGAGATATTTTTTATCGGTTTTGAAGCTACCATACCCTACAATCACGCAAACACACAAACTCTCAGTTTTATCTATGGGAAAAGAAGTTGCGATGCCAGCTAGTTATATTATAAAATATAAATGTTCAATATAATTGAACTTAACCTTTAATAAAGCAATATCCTTGACAGATAATAATATGAAACTTTATTGTTTTACTAAAAATGTCGGTATTACTGAATGGTTTCCGAGTAGCGATATAAAATCAGTAGGGTATTTTCGTTTGTTCGCGTCCATCCACCAATTTGCGTCTATTTTACGGAACGCCCTTCAAAAGTTCCCAAAAATAAAACTACTACCAAGTTTGTACCAATTAGTACACTACACATCTGTTTGATCTTACAGGTTTTCAGTACCTATCTTACATTAATAGTGATTTATTTATTTATTTAAATAGGTATACCGACAGCTTCTGTATACATAGCATTAAGTGATATGAAAGTAACATTAAGTATTTAGGCTTATACAGTCGCCAATTATAGGTTAACCAACATTTAATTACTTAAGTGATAATAAAAACTATAAATACAAAAATAAAAAGTGATCCGTAATATAGACGCAAACTGGTGGGTGAACGGGAAGAAGTAAACTTTTACGTAACCTTTTAACCCTATTTTACGTAGAGTGCCTGCCATCTGCTTCAAAATCTTCATAATTGAAGCAAGAATGTTTATACCAAAGTTAGACTAGTTCTTCTACTTTTAAGCATACCTAATGAAAAGTTCGCATTTCATCTAGCCTTTGTGAAGTAAATATTTTCATCGTTTATCTTCTTTGTTAAGATTAACAACTGGTGAAGTCAGCCGCACGGGCATGCTAACAATTTTACATGACAGCGTCTACTTAACTCCAGCGCAGTTGGAGTGTTCTTAGGAAACTGAAATTCTGAAATACAGTTCCGTAGTCAGTAGTGACGGTGACCGTACTACGTACATGATATATGTGGTACTAGATCGTGCTTGTTTTTTTAATATTTCAATGACGGGTTGCCTTTAATCACATACCTACCGACCTTAATTCATTCCGTCTCCTGCAGTAATTCACCGAGGAAAGTGGAAACCATAGCTTTTTCTTCTTCTCCTCTTATAATATCTTCTGATTCACTTCGTTGCGGGGACCAAGACAGTTACTCATGTCCCTGGGACGCCGGATGGCCGGACTTCAGTGTTCCGGCGTTTTTATGGTTGTATCTACTGTAGATCCTGGCTAACAGTAGTAACAGCATTTTTGGGAAAGGTGAGGTGGGCTTTTCCCAAAAAAAAATACCTACGGACCTGCATCACTCAAAAGGTTACATGTCAACGAAGATAGCACTGCATGGTGATTGAGATCGTTGTGGCCGGGGTCGGCGCGGTTTGGTTGGTTGGTGGTTTTACCTTTAACAGTTTTCTGTCTGCTCTCAAAGGCTTATTGGATTAAAATAATTCTTTGTAATGTTTTTAACATGTTACTAAAACTTGATAATTCAGTCTCAGAAACGAGAAATTGTCATGGAATGTTAAGATATTATTTCACATACTAACATAACATCACGCCTTTTATCCCTGAAGGGGTAGCCAGAGGTGCACATTACGGCTCTTAACGCCACTGTACAATGTAACACCCACTTTTCACTATTTATGTTATAAGTCCCCTGGGGGGTGAGCCTATTGCCATATACCGGGCGCATTTCCAGACTCCGTGCTACTACTACTTGCCCGGTAGTCGCACTTGCGACCACTTGTTTCCTTTGTCAGCCCCCATCTACTTCATAGCGGCTGTGACGCGGTCCAGTGGTATCGGCTAAAGTACTGGTCAGGCCTGCATATTCCAGCCAGTTCAAAAAGGAGAATATCTAGTATTTTTTTTAAATCTATGTAAGCAACTTGTTAGATAGGTTTCCTAAAGAGCAAATTCAAATGAAATTACTTATAAACATTGATAAAAAATAACTCGTATTTTATACTGTAACTGAACGTATGTAGGTACATACGAGAATTATAAGAGGTGTAAATAATATTCGATAATAAATTCCAAGAATATATTTTGATGAAATTATGTTATGTCCATTTGAATAACACCAAATGAATTTCACGAATAATTTTATGATCCAAGGTATTTGGCAATAGTTATGTAGAACACGTATTTAAGTGAGTTGTTATATGTGCGTAAGTACTTAGTTATTATTTCCTTATTTCAAGTAAATTGCAAACATTCTGTACTTTGAAGTATTACGTAAAGAACTTAGGCAAATAAGCATGGTGTTGTACCATATAGGTACTTACCATATTATGTTATTATACGCCATGAATGTTATACAATTAGAAACTTTAAAATCTTGTAGTACCCTCAGGCCAGTTAGTTAAACTTGATATTGCACTTTCTCAGCATTAGTTATTATTATGTAGGTACGTAAGTTTGTATGTATATTTTATGCATGTACCGACGTGTTTCCGATATTATCGATTGGGTACAAGTTAATGATTTATGAGGTGGTGTGTCGTGCATTTTCGACTGCGAAACAAAATATTGATTCTGAAATTGACTTTACCTTGAACACCTTTTAGATACGTATTCACTCTAGGTTATCGTAAGAACAATTGATCAGTTTGAAGTTCATAATAATTTTGTGAAATGTGAGGTTATCATGCCGATGTCTCTGTTAATTTGATTGCAGATTAATTGGTTTTGTGGTAAACAAACGTCTGTCGTATCGCAGTTTCGATTCCTGCATGGAACAACTTCTTGTATCTACTTATAAGTTTGTGTTTAGTACATGCACGACACGAGGGAAAATACCAAAATACTATGTATGTACTTAATAGCGTTTAAAAAATCCGTTCAGTAACTTATACCTATGTACAGGTTTCGCAGAATCATTAAAATGTAATTCCACACGCGCTTAATTGCGGATTCCCGTTTTACAAATACGCTGGCTCTATCATAATAATTACAACATTTAATATTTTACATGCAATCAATTAATTATGTTTACAATGACTTTTCATTGAAATAATAAATACACAGAAATTGTTAAAATTATGTACCATAAATTAATCATTATTAATTTTAGTTGGATGTCGGTTTCAAACCTTAAAAAAGAAATAGTATCGTTCAAACATAAAGTAGTTTAATGAAACAGTAATACGTATTATGAATGATTGAATGAACAAAATAATTAGTTTATTCAATCGACTGTGCTTTCAGTATAAATATATGGTTAATGTTTATGTGAGTAAGCAAACTAAAATTCGATAGTTACATCATTTTAAATTATGGCGACCCCTCTTTGGTACAAGAGAACTCTGACGGACTGTTGACGATGAAAATTTTGAATGATGATGCTAGTTTCGACTTGATCGTTGACAATTTTTTTTTCGAGCAAACAACCTGAGTATCTACTTATATTTGTATTGTGAATCTGATTGAAAAAGAGTAATCTATGGAGTTTCTTGCTCGTTCTTCTCTATATAGGAATCTACACCTTGGAATTAGCAAATAGTTTCATTTTTAATTTTTTCTTGACGTTCAATATTAGAGAAAAACCTAGTGTGGGGCAACGTTTTATAAAAAAAATAAAAAAATATTGCCTTTCTGGTCTAATTGAAATAAATGATTTTGACTTTGAATTTGACTGCCTATCTACCAAGGTACATACAATAAGTATACAGGTATATAATAATTCGCACTATCTTATTTCAGAACATAGAAGCAATTAACCCGCAAAACACAATAGTGGCTTTGTTTGTATAATGACAGAAGTGCGTTTTATTGTATAATTTTTCAGTCATTATTTACTGACCTCTATGTTCAAGATAAGATGTAATAACTTTATGAATGAATAGTGTGCGAAGGTAATATGGAAGGTGGAACAAAAGCCTTTGTATGAGAACCTTTTTAAGTTTACTGATGATGAATCAGGCATCATTTGGTTGAGGAAACCTTTTAATTTGGCTTTTGGAATTAGACAGGAAGGAAGGCTAGGATTAATATCTTGTAACGCCCATCTGTCTAGCAAATGTTTATCAGCTTCCAAGACCCCGGTTTAATCCTTGGCATAGTTGGCACATTACAGTGAGTAGTTTCCTGAATCTAGAAAAATGTACGTATATATTTCAGCGTGTCCAAGAAGTCACTTTCATGTTTGACTGTAAAGTCACCGCAGGGACTGGTGAAATGTACATATCACTTCCTGCTTGGCACAATTGACTGCACGGTTGGTGCGGTGGCTGGACAAATGGCTGCCGCGCAACGTGTCGAGGATTTGGTTTGCGCACGGTACAAGTCTTTGTGTGATCCACAGATTGTTGTTCCGGGTCTGGGTGTGATGTGTTTGTGAACTTGTATGTTTGTAAACGTACCCACGACACAAAACCTAGTGTGAATCAAAGTAAAAAAAAACAAAAATTCTTTGTGTGCTATGTGATCCACAAAGTCCAAGATCCAAGTGTGGGTCCACATCATCACGGATGGGGTCCAATAGGGCTGATGCCAATACGGCGCCGCGGAGAACCTAACGGGTTACCGGAGGTCCGGCTAAAAGTGCAGGAGTAGGAACGGGGTGGTTTTTAGTCAGTAAGAGTTTGACACTCCCTCCTGCGTCACCCAGGCAGGAGAAGTAACACGATGATTTTCCTCCCTTACAAAAAAGTGTGGGTCCACATGTATGTAACTCATATGTCCGTTAATCAATAGTAGGAAATTGGACGTTAGTCAATAGTGGCCACTTATAGGTTTTTGATGCGCGGTGTGATATCACAAAAACCCTATGTTATATCTGTCAAGGTAAATATCTTAATATATCTATATAAACAGGTCAATCAAATTGACCATAGTACCAGTGGCTATAAACCATTACCTACCACTCAAGCTAGTAACCAGTTTTTGTTGAGGCTAAGTAATTAAAGCACTACGGTGCAATGATTGTCTTACATATCCATTAAACTAATAGGCTTCTGCTCGACAGTGTGTCCTATATTAATCCCTAAATTGTTATTAGCCATTGCCTTTGTTAGTATTGTGGTTAGATGGTCTAATGCTGAATGGATTGGATTACTCCAATTCCATTTGGATCTCAAAGAGTTATCCACTGCCAGGATTCAACCAATATGTAGTTAAAATTGTACATTACTTCTACTTCTAATTTCGTTTTAAACTGTCAAACACCAAGCGGTCACCGGTGACCGCGACCTATTGTTCTTTAATTGTGTCTATAAAACCGGTACTCGACGAGTTAAGAGTAGTATATCGAAATTGTAACAAAACTAGTTTAACAAATCAGGCTTGTTTTCTTGTAAGCCAAATTCTTTTGAGTAAGAAACTCTTAGAAATTTTAAAATTCTCAATAAAAATGATCGCCTCCCCTCTTAATCTAAGTTTCTTAATTCGAAAATTGTCTGTAACTCGTTAAATTTGCGATTACAATTTTTTATATAAAAAAACACTAAGTACCTTCGAAACACTGTGGGTATACTTATTGTTACATAGAAAACAAATCCTTTTTTTTGAGGGGGAAAATCATCCAATGACTTCTCCCACCCGGGTGAGACGGCAGGGATTATGTTTATGAAATAACCTGTAGTCTGTAATTGAGTAATTTTCAACTGACCTGGATAAAGGTATAAAGGATTCACGATAACTGTCCATAATTTCTTACTAGTAGTCAGTCTGGGAACTGGGTTAGGTATTTGATTAAAATTGCAAATTGAAAACACATGGTTAATCAGTGGCCGATCGATCGGTCCTTAGCTCTTAGGTCTTTAACCGATGACCAGGACAGCAACAACAAAGTAAGTACTTCTTTAAACAGTATATCGATTATTGATCAGATTCACTTTACTTTTTTGTAACACTATACGTAGATTTTATAAACCGGGTGGATACTTAAAAAGTCAGATGTCCCATGGTGAATGTATCTGGCAGTTTAGTGTTATTATTTTTATGGAATAAAATTTAAATTATAAAAACCTCGGTAAAAAATGTAGGTTGTATGCAAAATAACTACCTACCCAATATGCTGCATATTTTTTTAAATACAGCTTACAGTTTTGTTCATTCATCACCATCATTAACAGCTACATATTGAGAACCAAATAAAATTTAGTTATTACTTTTTAAAACGCATTTTGGTTTATACTGCTGACAGCTGTGCCTGAAATCGACGTCCAAATGGCACCAGGTGATCGGCAAGGTTCCATCAATTATCAGAAAAATATGTCTTTACATTACAGTGACTTATGTGTCTTCCACGAAAAAGTACATCCTAGTACCTATAAGATGAAGATTTGACCACAATTAATTCCTTACTACTTTAATCAAAAGCCTTTTCTAAGTCAATAAAAAATCAAAGTCTTGTGCTGTAAGAAAACACAAATGATCCGTTTAATCTTGCTCAGGCATTTTTAAAATCACTGTTTTAAAAATAATCCTATGTATTATACACTATATTGTCAATTCAAAAATACGAACTGCTTAAAATTGCTCGTGTGATGAGAAGAACCAATAATTGTATAGGTAGCGTCATCCTCGTGAATGACAGCGTGTTCTGCTGCCTACTAACTACTTGTAGTAGTAGGCAGCAGAACACGCTGTCATAATATTTAAAGATGGACACATTCATAAAAAATATATATACTCTGTGGATGACCACCTCACTGGCAACTTCATTGTACTTTTTTGTGCACGAGCTGTCACTTAATACCGGAATTTTTTTCAATTTAATTTGATGATTTTCTTACTTAAATGGGTCGAATGATTTGCTTACCTTCTGCAGAGGTATTTTCACATCAGATCAATGATAATGTCGAACAATACAAGTACCGAATTACATCTTATACTTACGCATACTTAATTTTGAAAGAATCACTTTCATTATTAACGTCGTTAGCAACTCAGGGCAGCTTCACTGCTATTCTTCCTCTACATAAAAGAGTTGTACATCTTTTTGTTTAAGGAAGGTTTAGATTAATTATTATTTTTAAATACTAGGTTCTGTCACCAACATCCCTCGTTTTCCCGTGGAATCAAAGTAGCCTATGTGAAATCCAGACCAAAATCTAACCATGTACCTTTTACCCAGATAACTTTTCAGCTGTTTAGATGTTAAGGAGAAAGGAACACACAAACAAACTTTTGCATTTATAATATTAAGAGGATATGTGCAGTCTCTTGTTACCTCCGGGGGATTAGGACTGGAGGTGATAAAAACGACGCGGTGTGCGGGAATCGAACCCATCATAAGTAGCTCAGTAGCCGGTTTCCTATGCCAACAATGCTCATGTTTTATGGGTATGAAAGTTACTCTCTTATTATGAGATCTTAAGGCCGATTTTGCAATCATCAGTTAATTCTTAACTGTAGAATAAAATTGACATTTGACAGTTATTGGTATGGAAGAATTGTCAAATATTCAAAGTTATTCCTCATATAAAATTTAACATAACATTGAAAAATCGACCCTTAAAAAATGTTTTACCAAGTACGTCATCGCGTTTTTTACTAATGGCTGAAATCTGTAAAATTAAGGTTATCATGTTATTCTGTACTCAACATTTTCCAAAAATTGTATTTCACGCGACATTGGAAGTCGCGAGCGATACTTTGTGGCATGAGATCATAATTAAGTTATGTGAAACTAGATTATTGTTGGAATATTGCCATGATACTAGCTCATAGATTCAATTACGTGGTTATTCTACTCAAATACTAATACTTACCTATACAAAACGCAGAAACTTCTCAAGAATTAAAACCAAGCTTAACTTTAATATGACATAACATTTATTTCATTGGTTCCGCAAAATTATATCTAAAAACCTACAAATAAAATCTTAAAGTAATAAGCTAATCAACAACAATACACATAGCATCAGTGGGTACGTACAGACAACAAGCTCTCGGTATTCCTACAATCTACGACAACAATACACAAACACTTTAAAGCTTAGACACTATAAATACGTATTCAAAACATTTGAACTCTACTGTGAACTTTAATTGTGAGAATTTGTATTCACGGGCCAAGAAACAATCGCATCGCTGACTGGCAGTTTTCGCATGGCAATGGTCATAATGTTAAACAAATGGTGTTACCTAAGTGAGAAGCCATGATGTGATTGTTTCCTCGCTCCCCCTGGTTCGCTATCCTTCGCGACGCCTGTGGCATGTGTTTACAGTCTTCACATTTATATGGCATTGTAACGCTTTCTACCTCTAGACAAGCACATAATACATCCGATTTTCGGATCTATAACAAAAATCTACATAAAAAGCGTTCAATTTGGTTAATTAGGTTATAATTTACTCAGGGAACAACCATGACTTCCTTGTTTGCTTTGGTGCTTCATTTTGTTTTTTTTGTGGTTGCTTCTGTGCATCTTGCTGCTGCTGCGGAGCTGGTTGTATAGATAATGTCTTTTGGCTGCCTGCTGTATTGTTGTCAGTGATGTCACTCCTGTCCCAGCCGTGGGATTCATGATGATGTTCGTGGTGGTCTGGTGAGGGGAACCATTCAGAAATCCATACAGGTCTCCATATTTTCTTCACACCTGGGACCCAAATTTCCTTCCAACCGGGTACCCAGATTTGTTTCCAGGCTTCCTTCCATTCCAGTTTCTTGTCAGGTACCCAGATCAATTTCTTTGATGGCTTCCAAATTTGTTGCCAGGCCTCCTTCCAGACTAATTTTTTGTCATCAACCCATATCTGTTTCTTCTCAGTCTTCCAAATTTGTTTCCACTCGTCCTTCCACACTAATTTCTTGTCCGGAATCCAGATTTGCTTTTTAGCTGGTTTCCAGTACTTCTTCCAAATCGGTTTCCAGACTAATTTCTTCTTCCATAGATCATGAGATGTGTATTCCCAACCATCGTGATCTTTTCCTAAGTATTTTTCACCAGGAATGCCAACTTTGACCCATTCTGGAATCCAGACTTTCTTCCACGCAGGAACCTGTATTTCCTTCCAACCCGGTACGACTATGTCCTTGTAGACCGGTACGGTAATTTTTTTCCAGTCAGGTACTTTAACCTCTTTCCATGCAGGAACTTTTATGGGCTTCCATTCGGGCTTGTAGATTTTCTTCCAGTCAGGAACCTTAATTTCCTTCCATACCGGTCGCTTGATAGGCTTCCATATTGGCTTCCAAATCTTTTTCCAGGAAGGGTTCCATATTTGTTTTTTGGCTGGTTTCCAAATTTTCTTCCATCCAGGTTTCCAAATCAGTTTCTTTTTCCAGTAACCAGGGTCGGGATGGTGATGCTCATGATGGTCATGGTGCTCTTCATGATGCTCCTCGACGTGGTGCTCCTCGTGGATAGCGTGGTGTTCGTGATGATCGTGCTCATCGAAGTCGTGGTGCTCATGGTGCTCGTGGTGGTCGTGATCGCCGTGGTCGTCGATCACTTCGTGGTGGTCATCGTGAGGATGGAGGTCATCGTGATCTTGGTACGGGTTTACGAGAT